TACTGGCCTTAATACCGATACGTACGGGTCCGAGGGTGTCGGCGAGAGCGGCCCGGTTAAGGCTGTCATCAACCGCATCATCCCCGAGCATCAGAAGACGTGGATCCCGACGATGAATGCCCTCGGCATTGAGAGAAACTTGGAGTCGCTCGGCGGAGACCCTCTCGGAGTGATGTATCAGCCCAGCAGCATTGATCCGACTCACTACAATAGGTCTTACAGCGCCAACGCCTACGTTCCCATTGCCGGCTCGAACTTGGAAATCCTTTCTGATACCACGGTCCTCAAAGTCAATCTCGGAAAGGCAACGGGTGACTCGACTCTTCAGACGGCCACAGGAGTCACCCTTTCAGACGGAACCATCGTCTTAGCCCAGAAGGAGGTTATCCTATCTGCTGGCTCCATCCAGAGCCCAGGCTTGCTGGAGTTGTCAGGCATTGGCCAGTCCTCCGTTCTCAACGCCTCCGGTATCGAACAATTCATTGAACTTCCTGGCGTTGGCGAGAACCTTCAAGATCATCTTCGAATTCAAAGTTCCTACCAGCTCAAGGACAATTACACCTCCTTTGACATTCTCCGCAGCAATGCCACCTACGCCGCGGAGCAGCTGGCCCTCTGGAACGCCGGACAAGTCTCGCTTTACGACTACACCGGCAGCGGCTACACCTTCACGACCTGGGCGCAAGCCATCGGCAACGACTCGCGCCTGGTAACCCTCGCCAAGGAAGCCGCTGGCGAAGACCCCAGTGTCGTTGATAAGAAAAAGCTAGAGTTTATGACCGATCCTTCCATCCCCCAGCTCGAGGTCATCTTCTCGGATGGCTACACCGGCGTCAAGGGGTACCCCGCGTCAACATCTCCTCTCTTTGGCGAAGGGTTCTTCACCCTCATCGCCGCGATCATGCACCCCTTGAGCCGGGGCGATATTCACATCAACCCCGCCAACACCACCGGAAAGCCTGTCATCAACCCGAACTACTTTGCACACGAACATGATCTTGAAGCAGCGATCCAGGCCATCAAGTACTGCCGCAAGATCGCAAACACCGAACCAATGAGATCTATCTGGGAGAACGAGTACGAACCTGGATTGGATGCTGTCCAGACCGACGAGCAGTGGAAACAGTTTGCTCTCAACACGACGTTGAGCATCTTCCACCCCGTCGGAACCTGTTCCATGCTCCCCAAGGAGGATGGCGGTGTTGTTGACAGCGACCTGAAGGTGTACGGCACCTCCAATCTGCGCGTCGTCGATGCTAGTGTCATTCCTCTGCTTATCTCTGCACATGTGCAAACTGCCGTCTATGGTATCGCAGAGATCGCGGCTGAGCGCATCATCGCAGATGCTTAGAAGTGATCAGGCGGACAAGGGTCTATGACATGATTGATGACAGCATAGACTAGCGTCGGAGGATTCTTTTCATAATTCTAATGATAATTTTCACCAATATTTGCACAATTCGCTGGAAGGTCTCGTGTGATACGTTGCGCTTTGTTGCAATATCTCATGAGAAGATGACGAGACCAGGAGCATCCCTTCGATGAAGCTGTATCATGCTTGAGAATTACCTTCTGGTGACGCCACAGCTTTAAAGTTATTGAGCCTCTTGGGCCGTTGATACCATCTTGCAGGTTGTAGCGTTTGAAAATCATACAAACATCACACAGACTGAACTTGAACTCTTGTAGAATGAGTTGACTCAGGATTGGGTAGTCCAACCATGCTGATGGGACATTCAGTGGGTACATATAAGAACAACCGTCACAGCTATAGCATGTTTGAACCAGAGACCATTCAATAGCCTGAAGTGATTTATTTACGGAAAGAATTTTTATACATAAGATAATCTAGAACGAAACATGTACGTTGAAGTGGCTCAGGAGTTCATCGTCACCTGTAGCTGGTACCTGCCATGATCACATCCACTCAGCACTTGAGGGCTCGATCATCTAGTGCAGGTGAGCATGGCGTCTGAAGCGCATGGCCTGGCGCTGGGCGCGCTTGGTGACACCGTTACACTTGCTAGTCTCGGGGGCAGTAGAGTTCGAAGACCCGGTGACGGTGACGGCGGCAATCTTCTCGGCGGCGTGCTCGGCGGTGATCATGATGATGGATTGGGTGTTACCGGTGGGCAAGTCAGGGTGGATGGAGGCGTCGACGACGAAGAGGTTGTCGGTGCCGTAGACCTTGGTGTCGAGGTCGACGACGGCGGTACCGTCCGTCTTGCGGCCATCGTCGGTGCCCATCTTGGCGCTACCGACCCAGTGGTCACCAGAGATCATCTTGGTGCTGATGATGTCGTCGGGAGTGGCACCGGGGGTGACGTAGCTGAGGGTGGAGTTGCTGCCACTGGTGAGGTCGAGCCAGTACTGGACAAAGTCAGACATGGCCTTCTTATCAGCGGCGTCGATCAACCAGGGCTTGGTGTTGAGGACGGTGTTGCCGGAGGCGGTGATGCCGAGCTCGCCGAGGGTGGAGGTGCCGTGAGTCAGGAACGTGCGGACGGTGATGATGCCGTTCTGCATGGCGCTGGCAGTACCCTGTAGGTAACGGGTGCGGCCGTCGGAGCCCTCGGCGGAGGTCCAGAGGTGCATACGCTGAGCGGCCTGGGTGATGGGACCGGAGCCCTCCTTGTAGAGGTTCAGATCGCTGGTGACGGGGTTGGAGGCGATGGCGTTGAAGGCGTAGGCGCTGAAGTTGGTCTTGGAGTTGAACTGGAGCATGACCTGGGCGTGGTCCTGGAGGTGGTGTCCGACGGGGAGGTCGATCCAGTCGGCCTGGTCGGGGAGGGTGACGCCAGTGCTGGCGGCTCCGGACTTGACGATCTCCAGGGCGTCAGAGCGGCCGATACCAGAGTTCCACAGGAGACGGGGAGAAGACATGGCACCGGCGGCGAGGACGACCTTGCCGCCAGCGTTGACCTTGATGATCTGGGTGCTGCCGTCGGCGGACTGGGTAAGAACACCGGTCATCTTGCTACCGGTGCGGAGGACCTGGATCACCTTGGTCTCGAGCTTGAGGGTGAAGTTGGGCAGCTGCTGGGCGAAGGGCATGTAGGTACGGGCAGGGCCAGCACGGAGGTTGTCCTTGATGGACCACGAAGGGCGGGAGAAGACGGAGGACTTCTCGTTAGGAGACTCGATGGAGTCAACCTCGTTCCAGCCCTTGGCGCTCAGGAGGCCGGAAAGGACACGAAAGGTCAAGTCATCGTAGTACTTGCCGTCGTCGGAAGGCTCAGTGGTACCGGGGTTGCGCTCGAAGAGGCGGGAAGCGGCGTCGGAGACGTCTGCCCAGTTCCAGCCTGCGGGCCAGCGCTGCCAGTCGTGCTCGGGAGGGTGGATGAAGTTGAGGCCGTTGATGGAACTGGATCCTCCCAACAAGCAGCCGGCGGTGGAGGCAGTGTCACTGCAGAGGGAAGTTCCGGAGAGACTGGTCATGGAGCTGCCGAGCGCAGGAATGTCGTAGGGGGTAAGGGTGTCGTTCCAGGGCAGAGCCATGTCGGAGCCCAAGGCGACAGTGTTGGCAGGGCCACGCTCGATGAGGAGAACGCTAGAGCCCTTCTCGGCGAGACGCTCAGCGGCGATGATGCCAGCAGGGCCACCACCGACGACGATGACATCGTAGGTGGTGTTGGAGGTGGTGGGAGCGGGGATGGTACTGTTGCCAGGAACGGGAGTGGTGGTGCCGTTGCCGGGGACGGGCGTAGTCTCAACGGCCTTTGCGTACTTGGACCAGGTATCGAACTTGGCGGACTTGGCAGAAGCAATGTCAAGACCGAACTGACCGAAGCCAGCGGAGTGGTAGTTCAGGGCAGCAGCCGAGTCGGAGACGGGTGACGGGCTGGTGTCGGAGTAGGCCCAGCCGAGGATAGGGGAGTCGCCAGCCAAGCTGGTCTTGTCGTTGATACAGTTCTGGCACAAGAAGGTGTACGAGAAGTGAGTGCTGTTGACAAAGGTACCGTTGGCGATGGGGACAGCGGAGACCTCGGTGGCAGTGTAGACGTCGGGGTTGGCGTAGGCACTTCCCATACGGAAAGATGTCTTGATATCCTCGCCATCGGCCCAAGCGACGAAGAGGAGGCCGTTCAACATGCCACCCTTCAACGAGACGGCACCCCAGTTACCCTTTGTTGAGATAGGTACAACCATCTGACCAATGAAGTCCGTTCCGATGGTCTCGGGGACCGCGATACCGAAGCTGTAGGGGTAGGCGGAAGGCAGGTAGCGTTGGAAGTCGATACCGGTCTGGGGGTCTGAATAAGCCGAGGCTCGCAGTTGCGCAGTGGCAGATCCAGCGAGCCCGAGAAGGGCCGCTACTCCTGAGAATGTAGAGCGCATGATGGCGATCGTTTGCAAGTTCTTCTCAATATCTCGAGTTTGTTCGGTTTCGTTTTGGGGGATAAGGAGTGGATTTGGAAATTGTTCAAAAAAGGGAACAAGTCTCAAAATGGGAGTGAATGAACGTAACCTCTAGGGTCAACAAGTGAAAAATGAATGAAAACACCGTACTAGCGGTGACTCGAAAAAGAAGGAATGCACGAAAGATGCGGCTCAACAATCAGAGAGAAGAGTCAAGTCGTGTCGAGGTTGGAGGCGGTCCTCTGGCGTTGATATTATATCTCTCCATGCCTTCCAGGCTTCTCTCCTATCCAACGATCCGTCATCCAACAACTAAGTGCCCACCGTACCACTTAGTATCCGTCCCTGGAGGAACTGTACAAGACGGGAAGGACCCCCACTGAAGCAGGTTTCCTTAATCTCATCTTGCCCAAGGATGGCTGCTGCTTGCATACTGCGCAGTCCGGGGTCCGTAGCGCCAGACCAGGGGGTCGCAGAGATTCTCCGTGTTGGTCTCGGTCGTCGGCAGACCCGCTGAAGTTGGTGAACCCCGGGATGTGCATCCTTGGGGCCGCTAGAATGTTTGATATAAACTTGTCTGCTATCTGGTGCCAAGCGCGCCAACTGAGCCAGCTCGCGCTTTGTTTCAAATAAGAACACCATCATTGGCAGAACTCCCAAACGAGGCCATCGCCGCACTTGCAGGCAGATGCAGGCAACGCAGGCGACTTGTCCCTATGACGTGCCGTGTAATTTGAGCTGGCTTGTTTTACTTACATGTGAGGTGTCCCACTTACCGTAATCGCGAAGCCCGCAGGTGATCTGGGCGCACAGTGCCGCCCCCTTTCGTCCCCCTCTCGTTGGTGTCCAACGGTGAAATGGACCGACCTTCAGCGCCTCTGCGGCCAACTAGCTCCAGCTACTTCGAAATCTTCGGATGAACTGACCGAAGGGGGCGGCGGCCGCAGTGGATAGCGGGAATAATGCAACGTTGAGGCGATCGAGAAGGGCCTTTGGGAATTGGACATGATAATGAGTGAGCAAACAATCCTTCCAGGACGCGGGATGTCGAAAGAGCCTCCCTGCAGCTACCTTTAATCTCATGCACTCCTGTCTACCTAGCGCCTACACTACCGCCATGATGTGACTTCTGCTCACCAAGACATGCCAAATCGAAGACACTTTGCTGGCTAGGCCAGACCATCGGGATCAAGAGCCGAGACTAACCAGTAACAACTAGCTTTTACTGCAACGCTGATCTTCTGGACCAGAACTTTGACAAGATCGAGTTGCTTTACTCGAGACTCTCCAATGTCTCCATCAGCCTCAGGTGGAAGGTCCCCCATGTTTGTAGTCCACAATTACCCCTCATAAGCTGGAATGCCACCTTCTCAATTGGCGGAATTTGTTTGCGTTTAATAATTGGAGTCGATGGATATGAATCAATTGAACCATACTCGGTGGATTCTCGTCCAATTTTACCGAGCTCCTCGGTAAAAGTTGCTCATATTTGCACCGCCGCGAATAGTGGACGCGAAGGTTTGTTCCCTCTTTTCTTTTGGCGCCGTAAGATTGGGCATGTTTTGCCATTTGGCATTTCCCCTTTTCTTTCGGCCGAACATATTTGGACTTGCTGCGGGAGACAAAACTCATCTCTACCACGCAATGCGAGGCTACTACGCGTAAAGATGCCGTCTATTTATCCGGACGGTTATTTGTGGCATTTGGTGGCGGACGAGTCAGAGAATACCCAAACAATCCGGGGACGCGGGAACACAACAGGGACTAACCTTGAAGTGACAGGACAAAATTCACCCGAAAGTTAGCGCCCAGATGTCTGTCTCTCAGGGGCTGTTTGGATGTTACACAAGATATTGCTTGATCAGCACTTGACTCGCAGACGGGAGCGCTGCTGATCTGTTGATCAAGTCAACTCCATGGCGCGTTAATCAACTGTCATGCCAAGCTTTCCGACTAGCTTCCACGCGGGAGCCTTGTCCATGGACAAACGGAAGGCGACGGATGAATTTCTCGCGATTAACAGTGCAAAATCCCACAGGCTGCTTCTTCAGGGGAAACTTTCAAATTTTGGAATCGATCCTTGCCAGATTGATGGACATAGCCACTAGCGGAGCAAGCCTGATTATTAGCCAATGCCGAGATCCTGACCATAATTTGACGAGTGACGACGACCTCATTGGTGAGCAAACTCGCCAAGGATTGTTTCGTTTTCATGGACTCTCACTTTGTCTTCGGCAATTTCTGGCCGGATGAAACTCTGATTTATTGCGATCATCAATATCGCCGTGTTGGTCCTAATCAAGATCTTTCATGTTGCCCGATGAAGAATTCATACAAGAAACTTGGCTCGGCCGAGTTCGTGCGATTTTCAATCCTTACGTCTCCAAGCCCTCTTAAGCGTACTTACTCAAGTCACATAACAGTCCCTTCACAGCCTAATGTTTTGACTTAGATAGCACATTCTGTTAATTGTCTTACTCAAGCGAGGGGGCCAAACATGATGCAAAACGCGCGAATGGCTTCCATCCTCTCTTCTGTCTTCATTCGAACCCGCTTGGCTTATCTTGTACGTAGTGTTCATGTATACCTAGTATCACCAAGACTCACAACTAAGTCCCTCATGTTTGCAAGGATAATATGGCTTAACCTGATGCATTGTGAGCTTTGGGTGTCATTGGTGAAGAGTCAGGGAGCAACACTTACAACATCAGGATGTTCCGGCCATGGGGTGCCATGGACATTGAGCTCTCCGAAGTCTTTCGGCGGATTCTCTAGTATCGCGTCCATCAGGTACTTGGTGCAATGTATCGTATGGCTGTAATTGAAAGGGGGATCGTAGCCCAGAGAAATCCACAGGTGCGTCTGCCGCAGAGTGTACATGCAGTGGTATGTGTGTTCCTTCCTCGTGACCCAGCCGGCGGTCAAGACTTCGCTCGTCGGTGGTATCTCATGTTTTCCGCCCTTATCATAGTATCGATGCCATGGCCCTTCATTGTGAAATTCTTTGAGTAGGGCCACATTGTCTTGGTGAGCCATAGGCTCTTTGGGCCACCATTTAAACGACATGGTGTCGAACTCGCAGCCCCTGTCGCGCGCGATTTTGGGTAGAGCGCCGTTGGGGGCGCAGACGTACCCTGATAGGTCGAGGTCCATCTTCTGGCAGGTTTCGCATGATGGAAAGAAGGCGAGATACGCCAGTATTGAGAAGACAAGGATGGGTGGAACGAAGAGATACCAAGATCTCCAGGCTGGGTCGAACTTTTGCCATGGAAGGTGTTTCCTGACTCTGGCGAACCCGGCTTCTTGATCGACGGAGGAATACCTCGACGCGCCTTCTTCGCAAGACTCTCCCTCAGTCTCGTCTTTGAGGAGAGAGTACTTCTCTTCGCGTTTGCCCGACTTTGGTAACATGTTGTGCTTGACAAGTGGCCGACCCCACCTATTAAATGCTGAGCTGCAGTCGTTTAATGGTGCAGGAAGGCTTTCTGCTCAATTCGGAGACGACTTGACGATGTGGCACCAGTCTGGTTGTGTAGTACTAAAAGGCCCAGGTACAGAGCAAGACACATCAAGTAATGACACGAATGTGCCGCATCAAACCCTAGACACTACTACGACGGTGAACACAAAAGGTTTGATGATAATCACACAGCTGAAGATTCTCTTCTCCGTTGACTCAGGCAACCGCTGGTACATCGACTCCAGAATACATATCCTCGTGCGGAGCATAGCTCGCTATCAGATCGGGATTGGCGGACCGAAAGGCCCACATTTCCGGACCGAAGCGCCGATCCGCCATCGGTCCGACAAAAATGCACTGCTCCGATCAACTCGCAGACGCTACCAGCGTTGATCATTGTAAGCAAAAATTGGCAGAGTTGGTAGCGTATTGTGTGACTCGAAGAGAGTTGAGCTCGCATAGGTATCTTTCCAAGTCTCAGTCTCAGTTGTTGTACACTCAAGCAGCAACACCCCTATGACCACTGGAGTCTATATCGATGAGTCAAACTACGAAATACTAGTAGTAATTCAATCAGAATTACGGGATTTGTACCACCGAAGCCTACTATACCTTTCGTCAGCTCTACTTCCTGGTCTGAAGGAAACGTGGTCTTTGCCGTGGTTGCAAAACCTTGATCCAAGGGCCGTGCTGAAAACATGAAGCGTCAACAATAGCTCAACACGACAATCCTTTCCGCGCAATGCTTAGTTGAACTAGCCAGAAGACTAACCTCTAGATAATTTACGAGACATGGCAATGACATGCGTGATTTATCATCTCCCCATTTCAATTGTGAAAGTTCAATTATGTAAGCCAGCTTGGAAACCTCGAGGAGTTAGCGCCTCTGAAAAGGACGAGTAGATCTTACGGTCGCTTGAAACATGGCTGAAACCTCACCACCAAGGATCCTTGAAGCTCCCATGTTCGCGGATGCCCCGATGGACCCGTTGGGGGTCTTTCGATCATCCGTTGCCCTCCATTCTTCTCGATGAAGAAATGCAACTGGAGTTCATCTCTTGGCAAATTCTTGGTGTTCTTGGCCTCCCAATCGGCTATCGTGGCGGCGTTCTTCCTTTGATGATCTTGTTTGTTTGATTAAACAACAGCCATGCTCTCCGAAAATCGTCCACTGGTGTGGTCCTTCTTGGCGCTATTTCTTATTTTTGTCTGGAGCCTCCGATTACTAGGCGTTCACGACGCGATCGCAGATACAGTTTCAACGTTTTTTCCTGATGAATCGAACGAAGAAGCGACGACCGAGAGCGGGTTCATGCGACAAGCCATTGATGTCGAATTTCCAACTCCGATCGACTACGCGCCCATTCGGGAAACATGCTCTCGCACTCGGTTTCGCCCTGGGCTGCTCTTCAGCTGCGAAGAACAGCACGGCGGCATTGGCATGGTGCGAAACCAAATACTGAAGTGCGTCCGGTATGCGATCCACGGCGGAGGTGCACTCGTTTTGCCTTCAATGTCCCTGCGTAACGCGAAAGACATTACCGATATCGAGACGGGAAACGAGGTGCCTCTCGACTACCTATTAGACCGTGAGGCATTTATAACACGCCTGACAGAGGGGTGTCCGGGGATGATCGTGTACGAAAAGGCGACGGACTTTCCCTTCTACGAACACCGTTTAGGGGAGCCTTTGTCTCTGGTGGGAGACCATTTCGAGCCAGACCATCCACGGGAGGGGCTGAGACATCCGCGAAAATGGCGATACTTCTTCGACAACTGGCTCGAAGAGCAGGGAGTTCGAGAATATATGGGTCCAGAAGCTCCAGTACACATCAAGATGGAGCAGTCCTTCCTCGAGTATCCCGTGCGCGACGACGGTGACGCCTTCGTACACGAGTTCGGCAAAATCCTGTCCTTCAGGAATGACACTCGCGCTCTTGCGGCAAAGATTCTCTACCTGCTCAAGGAGAAATTCGCGCTTCCTTTCGATCCGAGAAAAGCCATCAACCCCAATGCTTATTTTGGGGCGCATCTACGACTGGAGAAGGATGCCACTTCTGCCTGGGGGCCTGACGAGTGGCGGTTCTCGCGGATGGATGACCAATTCGAAGAACAATTCCGTTATCTCGAGCGCACGGGGTTGAACGTTGTCTACGTGGCATCTGGAAACCAGACTGTGGTCGACATTTTTGCGGAAAGGCTCAACAAGTATCTCTCCATAGAGACTGGTACACCAAGGAGGAATATTACGGTGGTGACCAAAAACGACCTGCTTCTCGGGGCTGATCGCGAGCAACTTGATGCCCTTACATTTGACCAGCATGCCCTAGTGGATTTTCTGGTCATGTTCAGAGCGAGCGCATTCATGGGCGTCGCTCATTCCAGTTTCCCGTGGACTATTGCCCTGCGGCGGCACGAGCTGAGTAAATATTCGAAATTCGGCAACGAAGGCTCAGATCTACTGAGAGACGAGTACAGCATCATTATGGGCATGGAGGCCGACTACCCATATGTCGACCCCTTTGTTTATGGCCTGTGGCCATAAGGCCATTTCGGCTTCCCGGAAAGAATTGGGACAGCGACATCGTATGGATGGATAATGAAAGCATAGATACCAGCATGTGTATAAGTTTTGACAGGCATCAAAATACATGTAGAAAGACTCAAGCATTATCAAAGTAGAAAAGCAAAAGCAAGAGCACGTCTAATACCACAAAACGAAATCCAACTCCGAGTTCCAAGTTCCCTGCAACGTGGTTGGCGAATCGCACTAGGAAGTGAGCCTTATTTTGATGTCGCCCACCGTCTGGCTGTGCTGATCAATCAACAGATCAAGTAGCCGTCGATATGTCTGCGTCAAGGTCTTCATGGTAGTCTCAGAAAACAGGGACTCGTAATAGGCAAGCGTAGCGTCAAGTCGGGATGGTCCTTCGTTGAATGCCAGTACCAGGAGTTGCTGCCAATTTGCCGGATTAGTTCATGCACTCTTGTTCAAGAGCATGGCTTTTGACTTGCCTCGTGGGGATCCTGCTTCCAGATTGATCGGAACCCAATCTCGATATCATCATCCAAGTACTTGACCTTTCGGTGGTTGACTAGCGTATTGAAAAGTCCAGTACCTTCGCACCCTAGCTGACGCTCGACTTCGGTCAAGTCAAAGGTCTTGTGGTTCAGGCTGCGGATGTTCTCATCTTGGAAGCCCTGCAGGGCCTGAATAATCATCGTCGAATCGTCAAAACTAGCACAGGCTATCATCATTGATAGCATTGGTCCGACAACCTCATCCGCGTGCGGCAAGTCAATGTCTCGATCAGAGACTAGATGCCCAAAACAAACGGTAGAATGACCAGTGTAAACATGGAGGAGCATAGCCCATGCGAATTGAAGAACGTTCGAAAGAGTCACCCCGACCTCGCAGAGAAACTGCTTCATCTCGACTGTGATATCAACTACGAAGTTGATGGAACCCATGGTATGAGGGTCTGGGCCGCTTCTCACCATAGTCTCGATTGGGACCATGTATGGCTTTACGCCCTGTAGCTTGTCGATCCAGTATTCACTGCTTGCGTGGACATCTCGCTGAGAGTTGATGTGCTCGATGTAATCATGAAAACCGGTCAGAGGCTTTGCCCCTGGGCTCTGACCACAATAGAGCGCGACAAAGTCGCAGAAGACGTGTGCCAAGCTCACATGATCAATCAAGATGTGTCCCATGACGAAGTGGACGAATATCTCTCCATAAGAACTAACAAAAAGGCGCACCGAAACTGGAGGTGAGTCGTCCTTGAATAAATTCGAGCGAACGGTGTCGAGATGGAGCCCAGCTCCTTTCGTGGCTTCTTCCACTGAGCTGACTTTAAGGACGGTGATGTCAGCCTTGTGCTCTTTGAGCACTCTCTGGAAGATAGCTCCCGAGGCAAGGTCGCGGATAAAGACAGTCCTCAATATCGCATGCCGAGTGATGGTTTGTTGCCACGCCCCCAGAAGCGCGCCGGTGTCGACAGACGAAGAACCTTGAATGGCATTCAACAAAACAAGACTGTTGAATAAGTATGGTCTCTGAGGCTTGCTAAGGAACGCTTGATACATCCTGTTCTGGAACGGCGAGCAGGGTGACACGGTCTCGACATTGTCGTGAGCTAGGACAGAGTGCGGTACAGGGGCAGAATTGCTTGTTATCCTAGGCAGGGCGTGGTCCATTTCGGGCCTGGTGGCTCGCTTCGTAACTTTGCATGCCAAAAGCCTGATTGTTGGGTTCGCGAGAACATCCTGTGTTGTCACGTCGAGGCCAACTGCTTTGCAGAGTCTCATTGCTTGCATCGCTAGAAGATAAAACAACATCAGCCACTTGCCAATGGTTCAGAGAATCGATTGGATTCTCTGCAGATACTCACCGTAGATAGAATCTCCTCCAAGTCTGAAGAACGACTGCTCAAATCCAATTCGATCTGGAAATGGAAAGTCAGGTGTGTCTCACGTTGCCGATTGCCGGTCGAGGAGCTTCTTCACTTACGAGGTTCAAGCCCAAGGATTTCCGCCCATATGCCCCTCAAAGTTTCTTCCGTGGAAGAGCCACTTTTATGATCTGAGTCACCATCTTGATGAAGATCAAGTGCGGCCGAGAGGGTTCGATGGTCAATCTGTCCTACCCAGCTCATGACTCGTTGCCGATCTAGCTTGAGTGATAGCTGGACTGGGAGGCTCTTGACAATGAGCCATATTTCCGGGATCATGTATTGAGGCAACTCTCTCTCGAGCGCCGAAGTCATTGTATTCAGCGCATTAGTCAGCTTCTGGCGCATCTCCTGACTGAGATTCTCCTTTTCGACGATGGTAATGTCTTGGTTGTAAGCGCGTGTTTCGAGATCCGATGATAAAACTGTCAGGCTCACGACAGCCACAAGGCGTTCTTTGAGTTTACCCAATTCCGGCACCAGGACCATACTGTGCACAATGATTCCAGAGAGATTGTTGAGATGATATTGAATTTCGCCAAGCTCAACTCGCTGGCCACGAATTTTGACTTGCGAGTGATCTTTCCTGCGTTGGATGAAGAGGCTTCCATCTTCGGCATACCTCACCAAATCACCCGTCTTATACAATCTTCGAGTGCCTCTATTACCTTTTAGTGAAAATTTCTTGTCAGATGCCCATGCGGGAGGCTCAATAAACGCGGTCGCGGTTTTGGTCTCGTCGTTGAGGTAGCCTTTGCCCACAATGGGCCCGTCGAGAAGTAGTTCGCCAACAGCCCCAACGGGCATCAAGATGTGGTGGTTCTCCGGATGTACAACCCAAGCGCGACACCCAACCGGCCAACCGATGTTCGTAGCGACTGTATCTACCTTGAACGGAGCTCCAATGGTGCTGGTCACTGAGCACTCCGTCGGCCCGTAGCTAGGCCTCATGTGGATCTTCCCAGCCCAACGAGCCACAAGATCCTGGCCCATCGGCTCCGCATGGACGGTGATGAACTTGACGGATTCCAAATCATCGGGATCAAGAGTACGGAGGAAAGATGGCGTGAAAGCAGCCCAGTTAACCCACTTACGCGCGACAAATCCGGGGATGTCGGACATGCGCTCTTCCTCGGACGGAATGCAGACGCAACCACCCGCGGCAAGAACGGTGAAAATCTCTTCGAGAGAGGCGTCGAAACAGAAGTTTGTGAACTGTAAGACGCGGGACTCGGGCTTGATTTGCAGCCAGGAGGTGTTGTATGCCACGGCTGAACAGAATGACTTGTGCTGGATCACCACTCCCTTTGGTGTACCTGTTGTTCCTGAGGTGAAGATGACGTAAAGTGTGTTGAGAGGAGTAACAGAATGGGTAAGCGAAATCGCAAAGTTTGAAGAATTCTCCATGGAAGTCTTGTCGACGACAACAAGTGTTTCCACGAGGCTTGTCAGCTTGTTGTATTGTTCTGACGAAGACAGCCCAATCCTGGCCCCAGTCTGCTCGACCACAGACTTATTCCTCTTAGCAGCACCATTTGGATCAATGTGTACGAATGCCGCCCCGGACTTTGCCACCGCAAGCATTGACACCACTGCCCACAATGACTTTTCAAAACAAAGAACGACGATATCTTCTGGCACAACTCCCATAGCCTGGAGTCGCGACGCGAGATTGGTGGATAGGGAGTCCACTTCGGCGTAGGACAAATCGCCGTCCCAGGCACAGATGGCTGGCCTCGAGGGTTGTCTGTTGACTGTCTCTGAGATCATGTCGTGGACACAACGCCCATTGATCTCGAGCTGAGACGAGTTCCATTCCTGCATCTGCTTCTCATCCAGTGCGCTGGTGAGGCATATCTTCGAGATCTGGGCCTCTGGGTCGTCGATTATAGCTTGCACGGCGTTCAAGTAGACAGCTAGAATGCGCTCCGCTTGAAGTTCAGACATGAAGTATGTTGCAGTCTCAATGGTTACATGAAACTGCCCTGGATCTTCGGTGATACACAAGGCGATGTCGAACTATTCAAGGCGAGTTAGCATTCTCTTGGTTCATGATGCCACAACTGCAGAAAATTGAGACTGGAGACAGCGAATTACCTCGCTTGTGTCATGCACAAATAGTAGCTCCGATTTGATCCTCTCCGATTCTGGCGTTGCGGTCGTCTTTTGGAAGTTGAAAATCGTGTTGAATAAGGCATCTCCACTGCGTCGGGCTGCATGTTGGATCCGGGCCAAAGAAACTGCCTGTTTGGTGAGATGATCAATAATATCCTCTCGCAATCTAGTCAAGATCTTCGAGATTGTCGTCCTCGGACTTAGTTGTACTCTGACGGGCACGACATTGGCCATCGGGCCCACGATCTCTGACGCCCCCTGAATCGGGATGTCTCTACCGTGGCCGAGGAGACCAAAGACTACGTCGTCTGAGTTCAAATATGTGGACAAAACCATTGACCACGCGGCCTGGAATATGATGGGAATTGTGAGATCCAACTTTCGACATGCTGAGCTTAAATCGCGCTTGGGAAAAGTGGAAGATGTGCGGGTAAACTCGGAAGTTTGAACTGATGACGATCGATGTTGACGTAGTACTGGAAACAGACATGACGGTGCCCCATCCAAGTAGCGGCACCAATATTGTGCGATCTCATAGGTATCTTGCTTCTCGACATAGTCGATGTAATTGGAATACGGGTAGGTCTCGTGTTGCGGGCGATTGTTCAAAATAGCCAGGAAATTTCGAATCAAGAGGCGAGAAGTCGTTCCGTCAGTGATGATATGATTTTTGTCCAAAAGACAGTATACAGAACCGTCATCTGCGGTGTACAACTGAAGCTCATGGAGTATCTTGCCGCTCAAAGGTTTAGTTGCGACCGAGGATGACTGCTCCGCCCATAGGGTTGGCAAATCGCTCTCGCTCCGAAGCCTGTGGACCTGAATCTCGATGTCGACAGCCTTCAACACGAGCTGAAGAAACCTCCCAAACGCATCTTCAATGAAGACAGTTCTCAATGTTTGGTGCGTCGCAATAATCTGCTTCCAGGCTGCTATGAGGTCATTAGGATTGAGTGGCATTGACCCAGACAGCTTGAAAAGGAAGTGCTGGCTGTACTGATTGCTTGGACCCTTCAGCTGCGACAGTATGAGGCTAACTTGAATTGGAGAGCAAGGAAGGACTGATTCTATCTCGGTACGCGTGATGCCGAGACGGGATTGAGCGAGATTGAGGACGGCGTTGAGGTCCTTGCGTTGAAGTCCAACTGAGGTAACCAGAGGCTCCGAAGGGGATGGAGGCAAGCGCTGGTGTTCGTCCGCGAGGCCGCTAGCAAATGTCCTCAGACTTTGTTCAAATTGATGGAGCCAACCTACCAATAGATCTTGGTGGTGCATCCGAGAGTTCCACTCAACCTGCAGAGACAGCTGATTATCTTTGATGGATGCCAAGATTGAAATCAGGGCATATCTCGATGACCCTGCACGTTGCTGGTTTCTGAGGCCCGAGATCCTCTCCTGGATCTCGTCGCTACATCTCTTGAACAAAGAGCCGTCTTTCTCGAATTGCTGGAAAACCCCGAGATAGTTGAGAGTTACCTCCATGGATGATGGTGCTCGAACGCCTCCTTGCCAGCTGTGCTCAGGAAACGTGATGCGAAGTAGGCTAAGCCATTGAGTGGAACATTGTTACGGAACTCGCTGACATCGTTGAGAATGTTGCCGTGGCCGTTTGCGATGATGGGAGAGAAAGTCGTGAACCAGCCAACAGTGGTAGACGGGTCCACCTCAGGAACGAAGATTTCTCGTCCATGACACTCAATGAACAAAACAGGGGAGCGATCGAAAATCTCAACAAACGAGTCAATAACAGAGGCCAACAACAAATCATGAGCTCCTCGTGCAGGCACTCCCTGCGCTGAAACCAGTTGTTCAGAGATATATGAGTCGAGAGTGATGGTATGAGAAACACAGTCCCCGAAACAGTTCCTCTCATCTGCCATGCCCCAGAATGACAAATCAGTGGCAAGAGCATGAGCCGACGGAGGCAAAACGCTGTGTGGTAGTAAGTTCGATGAGAAGCGATGTTGCTCTAATGTCCAATGTTGGAATGATGTTGCTTCGTCTGCGATCGGCGTCTCGAAGAGGAGGTATGACTCCAACTCGCGCAAGAGTATCCGCCACGACACTGCATCTACGACAAGGTGATGGATTGTCATAGATAGGAGGGTCCGACCCTGAGACTCAAATAAGTCCACGGCCACGAGAGGACCGTTGGAGAGATGGATTGACCTCTTGGCCTCGCTGATGCACTCGACAACGTAGTTGAGCTGTTTCCGACTGTGGAACCTTATGCGACAGTAGTCAACGACGCTAATGGCAGATCCAACAGGTAGATATTGCGTCCATTCGCCATCGCGACACTTGAACTGCGCGCAGAGCATTGGATGAGCCTTGAAGAGGGTTTCCAGGGCCGCCAGCAGTTCTTGCTGGTCTACGGCCTGGGTGACTTCAACGACCATGGTCTGCTGATCAAGATCGTCTCCCTTGGGCGACGTATGGAAGTGAAGTTTCTGAATGGGAGAAAGGACAAAAGCTTGCGGTCCTGCTGGATCCATGGACGTGTTAATCTGAGCTGGAACTGGCGAGGCAGCTGCTCCAATTGATTTGGCTAGGCGCTCAATTGACCGGTACCGAAGGATATCTGCAGCCGATATGTTCATCCCAGTCTGCCTCGCCATACTGCTAATGGTCATGGCCGAGATGGAATCTCCACCTGAATAGTTTGATGAGCCTCGTGAGAAACGCGCGATATTGATACTGATAAACTCACCGAGGTGGTAAAATGAGGTGTTCCAGCGAATTTCGTCCTCGCTGACATTCAGAGCCTCACTCCAGATGCTCCTTAACCTCGTCTCCAGCTCCGTACCATCTCTTTTAGTGCTGTCGTCGTCCATACGTGGCAACAATCCGGCGAACTCATCTGGAGTAAGTCTTTCAAGATACTGAATCACCCCCTTTCGATCGAGTTTCCCCGAAGAATTTCTTGGCAGGGATTCTAGAATGAACCATAGCTCTGGGTTCATATAGGGTGGTAGCTTGTCAAGAAGAAACCCTCTCATGCAGTTGATATGCTCAAGCCAAGGTGCGTTCAGGATCTTGATAGGTGATGCAGACATGCTTGAGGGCGGCGCTACAATTGAGCCATTGAGCATGACGACGGCCACCAATCTCTTCGCACAAGGCCCAGACTTCGGAACAACGGCGAGACAATGCTGCACTCTGGGCTCAAGGATCAACTGTCGCTCAATTTCTCCCAGTTCAATTCTCTGACCCCTGAGCTTGACCTGCCCATCTCTTCGCCCGACAAAATGAAGTTGACCAGCAGAGTCGTATTTGACTAGATCGCCGGTCTTGTAAAGTCTTCTACCAAGTGCCCAATCAAGGCCCTCAACGAACGAGGTTGATGTTTGTGCAGGATCGCCCAGGTAACCCCTTGCAAGAATTGGACCTTCCACCAGGAGCTCACCTACTGCACCGATAGCTTGAAGGATGCTTGAGTCATCAGGCCTAGCAACATATGCTGCGCACCCGGGAACGGCGAACCCAATGGCAGTAGGGCTGATGTCTTTTGTGAATGGCGGACTGATTGTGCTAGTCACGCTGCACTCCGATGGGCCGTAAACCTGGATGAGTTCTGTGTGTGGTCGACAGGCCCAGCTCTGAATGTTTTTCGCAGTCATTGCCTCTCCACCAAGAACCATGGTTCTCATCGTCGGTAGTGTAACCGGCGTGAACATCTCGGCGAATGAAGGCGTGAGATGTGCCCAATTTGCCCCTGACGCTGATGCAAACCTGGCTAAGTCTGGGCAGCTCAACCGGTCGTTCTCACGTGGAACACATAGACAGGCACCGACGGCGAAAGTTGTCAGATGATCTTCCATACTCGTGTCAAACCCATAGGAAGCAAACTGAAGGACTCTCGAAGTGGAATTGATGTGTATTCCATCGCTATGAGCTTGAGCCGCATATGCATATGCTCGATGTTCCACAACGACTCCCTTTGGCTTGCCCGTAGAACCGGAGGTGAAGATGACGTAGGCTGGACTGTCGGGAGAAATAGATTGTAGCGGAATAGTATGGTCTTTCTTCGGAGTGGCCTGGTCTAGATCCAATTGAAGGACCTGACCGACCATATGCTTGATTGATGGCGCTCGTTGCTTCGAGCAGATGGCAAGTCCAGTTTCTGTGGAGATTGCCAATTGCTGCAGGATCTCCTGTCGCCGATTTTCGGGATTCGAGATGTCAACAGGCGCGAAGGCATTACCACTCTTCAAGACGCCGAGAAGGGCGACGGAATACCATTTTGACTTCTCGAAGCAAAGCGCGATAAAAGCTCCAGGTCCAATACCCCGCTGCAAAATCTCTTGAGCGACACTGGAAGCAGCTTCATTGAGCTCTTTATAGGTCATGTGTCCATCCCACGCGTGGACTGCCTGCGCATCAGGCTGAAGCCGCACTTGATTCTCGATCAGGCAATGGATGCAGGTCAATCGAGGACCAGGCAGCGGAGCATGCATACGTGAGTTCCACGTTGCGACTTGCTGCATGTCCCACCTGCTAATCGCGGTTGTTGTAGCGATGGTAGCTTGCACATCGTCCATCTCAATCAACCTTGATAAGATGCTTGAAAACGTATGCGATACGTTGCTTGCCATTGCCGACGATAACGTGGCGGTCGAATAAGCGAGTCGCACTTGAATCTCCGAGTCCGAGTAGACAACCTTTAGCACAATATCGAAATCGGAGGCATTATGGGACGAGAGTAGCCTGAAAAACGTGCTGCCGGTGGCGTCGGACATGGAAGGCGAGTAATACGAGGTTACGATGGTGTTGAATAGCTTGGTTTCGTTGGTTCCGAGTATCCGCTGCACCTTGCCAATAGAGAAGCATTGGTGTGGTAGCGCGTTTAAAAAGTCTTCTCTGATAGTATGGAGAAGACCTTGGAGCGACATGTTGTCGATTCCGCCGACGCGGCAGACTAGCAAGTTCATCATCGGCCCAACGATTTGAGACACTCCAGGAATCGGTAGACTTCGCCCGGAAGAGAGGTAACCGAAGCAGATATCCGGGTCGCCCGTGTAAGCGTGAAGAACAAGAGCCCAGACAGCTTGCAGCACATTCGATATGGTCGCATTATGCCTTTGGCAGAAGACGCGAATGTCGTCTAGACCAACATCAAGAGGCATCTCCGAGACGTGGAAAGACCCGGCACCGCCTGCTTGGTTGTCGTTCATAACAGGGAAAGAACATGGCTCTGTCCCGTCCAGATAGTCGACCCAGTAGTCGAGCGCGCCGTCTTCATCCGTCTGGGTCTGTAAGTAAGTCAACATACCCACTTCCTGGCACCCCCCTGTTTCTGGCACCACAAAAACGATGGGATCACAACCCAACCTCCTCATTACTATTAACTATTGATCCTCAACCACACCCACTACAATACAGCTGCCAGCCTCACTAGGGCATTCAGAGTCGCTGGATTCAGCCGTGATAACCTCCTTTTCACCCGCTTCGATTTGAGCCCGATGGATATCCCTGATGTTCGCGAACTTCGTATTGGGATCG